AGTCCTGTAGCACACCTGGCTGCTCTCTGGAGTTCAAACCTGATTAGAGCACAAGGCAAGCTTACCTCCAAGAAACATCTGCAGTCTCAGATCCCAGGGTCTCCTTAGTTGGTGGCCGGTTTGCTTCTGGGTCCAATTCAAGGTGTTGGTTATTACTTTTAAACCCTTCATGGCACAGGACCGCCCGCCCCGCTTGGTCTGGCAGAAGGGGCATGTTGTGGACTCCACCAGTCCAGGAATTCTAGCTGGCAGGGTCTAGGAAGAGGGCCTTTTCTGCCATGGCCCCCATCCTGTGGAACAGCTTACCACCAGAGATGCGGGCTGCCTCCACTCTCCTGGCCCTCCAAAAAAGTGTGAAAACATGGCTACGCCCGATGGCCTGGAGGTCTGATGGAGGCTTGCATTGTTGGAATTGGCTGGTGGGATGTTCGATACTGCTCCCCCCATCATCTTGAATTGTACAGAGTCTTTTTATATAGGATTGTTATTAATTTTAATATAGACATTTTTATTTATTTTACTGTTTTGGATTTTAATTGTGAGCTGCCCAGAGTTGCCCTTTGGGGGAGATGGGTGGCATATAAATTTAATAAATAAATAGTTCTCTAAAGAATACCAGAAAATGATTTTTTTTTAATCAGGTGATAAGAGTGACCAGAAGAAATGAAAGAGTGAATGCAACTATTATTGCACACCTATGTTGGGGAAGATTCTTGGGCAATGAGTGTGTAGGTACCCCTAGCTCTTTACTTCTATTATGTCCATAGACTTGTATACTGTGGGCCTTGCTTAGCGTTACTTGTATCCATTTGCCTGAAGATGGAAGATATCCCTGTTGACTGCTGTTGATAATTTTCTGATGCTATTTGCAGATAAAATTACTTGCATCCATTCAGACTTAGATGCCACTGGGGTAGTCTTATAACTTTGTTGCCAGCTTGCTGAGCAACTGGGATTCTTTTGAACCTGTAGAAACTGTGGCAGTGGATAGTATTCCCTGTGGCATGAGCTCTACCTGCTAGGGGTTGAGTTAATGCCCTGCCTGGCTTTTTTGAGTGGCTAGATCATGTGTGGGGTGTGGTTTTATTTGGAAGATGATGTTTCTTTGAGAGAGGGGGCGATATCATCAGCTTTGAAGAACATGTAGTATATCTCTGCCTAAACAAAGCATCTCTCAGTCCATTTGTACTGGACATTTTCTACCCAATTACCCATCTTCCTTTTTTGGGAAGGTGGTGGGGTTTCAACTGCAGAAAACGTTAGAAGAGATTATCTTTATCCTTTTCAGGCCTAGGATAGGACACAAAATTTTGGACAAGCTAGCTTATTGCCTTTGTCAGAACCTGAATAGATTGGAGTGCATCTCTTGGCAGTGTTCAATACCACTGATCATGGTATCCTTTTGGACAATCTGTGAAGATTGGGGATGGAAGGCATTGTTTTGCAGTGGTATAATTCCTATCTAAATGAAAACTACCAGTTGGCATGTAGGTAGGAAGAATAGTTGAGCTCTTCAGTTTTCAGTAAGGGGTCCCACAAGGCTTGGCTCTTTCCTCCATACTTTTAAGCATCTATATAAAATGATGGAAAAGATCATCTGCTGATTTGGAGTACCCTGATACACAATTTTATATTCCTATCCCTGAGCCAAGAATGCAGTGGAAGTCCTCATCCAATGATTGGAAGCTAGAAGGGACAGAATGTGTCCAATCAAACTCCAACTGACACCTTGTAAAAGAGTTACTGTCTGTAGCTGACTGATCTGGATCAACTTAGACCCTAAGTTGGCTCTGGATGAGTTTGTCCCTTGAAAAAGCAAGTCCCTAACTTGGGGTTCTCTGAACCTGCAGCTTCTGCTTGAGAAGATGGAAATCATAAATGGGCCTTTATTTTTCTTTGGCTGGTACACTACTTGAGGATCTTTTCAGATCAAAACATTCTTGCAACAGTGACTCATGCCCTTGTATGTAGAGAATACTTTACATGGAGCTTCCTCTGAAGCTATCGTAAACTGCAGTTGGTTCCAACTGCCAATAGGAGGTGATAGTTTCAGCAGTGTCACACCTATCTTGAGGTTGCTGCATTAGTTACTAGTAAGTTTCCTGGATCAATTCAAGGTGCTTGCTTTAAACCTTTTTAAGCCTACAAGGCTTGGCACTCTGTGTTCCAGGATTGTCTAATCAGAACCAACCCATCTGCATATCCATCTCAAGAAAAACTGTCTGGGTCTCCAACCCACATAATGTAAAAGGAGTGGAAACCCAAAGGTATGACCATTCCGTAATAGCCCTAAGTTATGAAC